AGCCTGAGGCAGAAGAGCACTCCTTAAAAGCTACCACCTCAGATGTTTGGGCCTCTCTAATCGCCAACAGATTATGTTATTTTACACTCAAGTTAGACCCAAACATAGAAACCTACCAAAGTGCAAATTAAAAAAACAAAAAAAAAAAAAAAGAGAGAGAGAGAATTCAATGAATTCACAGTGGCAGAGTAATGACCAAGCAGAATGATGTCCCAGTACAATGTGACAAATCTGCTTCTGATCATCCTTGAATGTTTTGCCAGTGGAGAGAAGGAAAAAAAAAATAGAAGGCTGGGTGCAGAGAGCTGCTAATTAGAACAATCTAGAAAACAAAAATGCTCGAGTAATTTTGGGCTCGCCATGCCAGGCTGGTTTAAATGCAAACTCTGATTTCTCTCTTCACTGGGAGGGTGTAATTAACTCAGCTGTACCGGGCTGGTGGCACAGGCTTCCTGGGGCCTCCAGCTCCCTCGTGACCAGGAACAGCTGCCACCAGCTATTTCCACCAGCACAGCTCTGGGGCCACCCTACAAAGCCATGCCCGAGTCACTGTGAGCAGAAACTTCAGGGTCTTGGTAGGGTTAGATCTGTCTTAGAGATGAGTGATCTGCCACTTCCCAAACGAGTCAGTCGATTCCTAATTCTTCAGGTAAGGTGACCTGGGTGTGTCGGTTCAGATGAGAAATGTCCCCCATAGGTTCCTGAATTTGAACATCCCCAGTTGGCACTGTTTGGAGAGGGGGTGGGATATTAGGATGGGGGGGCGTTGGTGGAAGGATTGCGTCACTGGGGTAGGCCGCGAAACGTTATCGCTGCCCCCCTTTCAGCTTGCTCCCTCTGCTTCCTGTGTGATGTGACCATTCAGCTTCCAGGCCCGGATAACCACTCTTGCCACCTTGCCTTCCCTGCTGCTGTGGGCATCCAGCTCCCTGGAACCATGAGGCAAAGAGAACTCTTCCTAAGCAATGATTTTAGTCATTGTATTTTATCACGGCAACAGAAAGGCAACTAATAGACTAGGCTTAGCCAGCCTTCTGCCCGGTTCTTGCCGCTGAAAGCCTTTCTCGAATTGGTGAGGAGTCAAATGTGGTATGGGCTCTCGAAGCAGATAGGAAGGAAATGATGAGAAAACCCTGGTGGAAGATGCTGGGGAAAGAGAAACATCAACCTCAAGAAAAAGATCATGACCTAGCTGGTCCTGGTGGCGGGGTGCACAGGAGACACTGATGATGGGATTAGGATCAAGGTTAGAAATGGGGGGGTACTCTGTATGGAGGGTGTGTGGTGCCTCAGGGGTGCTCTGGAGTTCTCCTGAAAAAACCAAGCGGTAATTCCCGCTTAGCCATTCGACAGGCTCAACAGGTGTAATAGGTAGGCATTACTATTTCAATGAGTAAAATTATTCTCCAAGCCAGTTCTCTGATGATGCTTTCATGAAGCCAGAGGGTGAACTATTATTTTGAAACAAACACCTAACTCATTTTCCAAGTTTCCTACCCTGTGTCCTGTCTTCCATTGTCATTTACCTCTTTTTTTTTCTTGCATCTTTATTCCCCTCTGTGACAATGTGTAGCTGGTTCCTCCTCTCGTTTTCTGTGAGTAAAAGTCCTACGAAAGTACAGACTCTGCAACTACAGTTGAGTAATAGCCACGAGTAAGGGGACGGAGTTAATAACTTTGTATAGATTTATCATTACTTTTAAATAAATGTGTGTGTGTGTGTGTGTGTGTGTGTGTCCTGTGCCCTGTAGATGACCTTGAAAGTAGGAGAAGGCTTAGAGTTCTTGGAGTTACCCTCATTGGAGTCACGGGGGGTTGTGAACTGCCAATCAAACCTGGGTCTACTGCAAGAGCTGTACGTGTTCTCAGCCCCTGAGTCGTCTCTACAGCCTCTAACCTTCCAAAGCATATTCACAACTGGGAAAACGTCAGGAACTTCTAATACGCGAAGGAGTGGGAAATCCGCCTCCCTGCCGTCAACAAGTCAGGAAGTACGTCAACAATTCTTATAGACTTATTATTACTCTTAAAGAGATGTGCGTGTGTGCGCACCTGTGTGAGTTCCCGCATACCACATGTATGTAGGTGCCCTTGAAGGGAGAAGAGTGGATGCCCTAGCATGGGTCTGATGTTCCACGCAGAGGCTTTTCCTAACGAATGACAATAAAAAAATGACCAATGCTGCAGTGTAAATAATGCATAAATGTTCAAGATTAATATATATGCAATGACTGCTGCTACTCTATTACTTTCTTTTTTTCAAGATTTCTTTTCTTGAAAGTGCACGAGGCTGTTGGATTTTAAGTATACTTAAAATGCTGTACCTTAAACCGTCATGTAATTCTTAAATTACACCCCTCCACATCCCAAGCCCTGGACCCGGCAACAGTCGCTCTTTGATGGTCCCTCCCTCAAGCCCTTGGAAAACCAACCAACTTCCTGTCCTTAGATTTTCCTCATTCTAGACACTCCTGGTAAATGAAGTTAGGTGGTACTTGCCTTTTTGTGCCCGGCTTCCTCCTCTTAATACCATGGTTTTCTTTTTCTTTTTGAAATTTCTTTTAGATTTATTTACTTTAGTTTATGTGTAAGAATGCTTTGTCTGCGTGTGTGTGTGTGTGTGTGTGTGTGTGTGTGTGTGTGTGTGTACCATGTGTGTGTAGTGCCTGCAGAAGAGGATGTCAGATCCTCTCGAACTGTTAGAGTTGGTTGTGAGACACTAGGTGGGAGCTGGAACCAAACCTAGGTCCTCAGCCAGAGCAGCAAGTGTTCTTAGTTCCTGAGCCATCTCATCAGCTCCTTAACATGATATTTTAAATTTTTATCTATGTTGTGCCATGGGCTAGGTTTCATTTCTTTTTATTGCTGGATAACATTCCACTGACTAGCCACGTTGTTTTTATCCATTTAACTGTTGATGGATACTTCAGTGGCTTGTACTCTTTAGACATCATAAATAACTCTCCCAGAAGCTTTTGCATAAACACAACTTCAGTTCTTTTTGGTATATTGATAGGAGAAGATAGTTAGGTTGTATTGTGGCTTCGTGTTGAGATTTTAAGCTATTGCTGAGCTGGATTCCAAAGCACCTGCACAGTTTTGCTTTCCTGTGAGCAATGGATAAGAATTTTAATATCTCCACATCCTGGCCAGTCCATACTACTGTCTGTCCATCTTTATTACAGCATTCCAGAACTGTGAGGTGATATCTAATTGCTATTTTCCTTTGCAGTTCCCTAATGACTGAGGTGCTAAACATCTTTTTTTGTGCCTTTTGACCCTTTTATATAATCTTTCGAACAACGTCTGTTCAAATATTTTGCTTAGTTTTGAACTGAGTGGCTGATATTTTTATTGTTGAGATTTTTCAACAATAAAACAATGTTTTCTGAATTATCACTCAGGAGATGCTGAGAACGCTGGGGTTTCACCTACTTCAGTCCTGGCACTGGGATGAAATAGCCCTTATTGATTTGCATAATAATTAATTCACAACATTTATTGAGTTCTTTCTTTGTTCCAAGTCCTTTACAACCTTAAAAAAAAAGTTGTTGCTTAGACCACATGTTTCTTCTTTACATACTCATGAAGATCAGAAAAACCTTACCTCAGAGAAGCACCCATTTGTTTCTTCTGAAACTGGAACATACTCATCCCTACCTTGCACCAAGGAAAATTAACGTAATAAAGCAGGTATGTCTGTAAAATAACCACCTGGAAAAAGCCAACCACTTACAGACTTGAGGCAGATTCTGCTACCAAGTTCTGTTTCAGACCCTTGAAATTAAGACTTCTCATATCTCCTGTAAACACCGAGAGAGCCCCCAACTTAATTTCTGTTTAGTTTCCGCAGACCAGAGATGAGCAATGCTCATCAAGGCAACAAAGGAAGAAACACCACCAAACAGTCTGGTGGAAAACATGGAACAAGGTGTAGATCTACCTTCTTAAACTAAGGGTAGTAACACTGGCAGTGGGAAAGAGCTAAGAAGGTTCATCTTCGAGACAGTCATGAGCTGCGCAAAGGCCAAGGACGACATTGCCTCCACCAGCCTTACCCTGTTCTGGAAGATGGCAAGTGACACAAACAATAAACAAAGAAGATTTCAAGATCCCGTTAAACCTTCCCTCTGTTTTGACTTCTGGGTTTCCAGAAATGTCCCCATTCTTCATGTCCATGTTCAAAGACTTCCATTTACAAACCTAACATACTCAGTGTTCCAACCACAAGTAGCCAGCGGATCTGAAGCACCGTCACTGAGTCTGCCCTTTTGGGATGGGACTCTTCGAGAACAGGCTGGCAAAAGCTCACTCACCGCACCCATATGTGTAAGTGCCCCGCTGCTCTCACCCAGTGTGGTTCTGTGAGGGAACTGCCACGGTCTTCCGGACTGCCATTTATATGAATAGGTACATACACGCTCAACCCTCAAGGTGTCTAGGTATCATTTCCCAGCATCCAATGAAAGTTCCCGGTTAAATTCTTGATCATTGTGCCCTCAAGCAACACCCTGGAAACGTGGATGCAGTTTCTCTTGGCAATGTAACAGAACACTCTGGAGAGCCATGGTGAAGAAGGGCTTGCCCTAACGCATACATGCTGGACATAGACAGGCCCTAGAACATGACTGCGCTCCAAGCAGCACTTAAAAGAGGTTGACGTAGAGAAAATGGGAACAAAAGGGTGGGCTTTAATCCAGTCTGGGTGGTGTCTGAATTGGAAGAGGAGATTTCGAAGTGACTTGTCCCCTTAAAGCTCAAGCATGTAAAAATAAATAAAAATAAAAATCGTGGAAGATACAGAGATGACAGCCACCTGCATTCTGATGAGAGGGCCTGGGAAGATGTCACACCCACTACCACCATGATCTTACAAGTCTCCAGGACTGCAGGGAGTCAATTTCCATTAACCAGCGATCCGTTCATACACCTGCCCGAGCATATGAATACACGGGGCTTCTCCCAGTTAGGAGGATCTCCTTGCCGGGACAGCTACTCACCCTATAATAGTCGGTGCTGTACACGTCCCGGGACATCCCGAAGTCCCCGATTTTCACCAGCAGGTTCTCTCCCACCAGGCAGTTCCGGGTGGCCAGGTCGCGGTGCACAAAATGTTGGGACGCCAGGTAGACCATGCCCGCTGCTATTTGCTGAGCGATGTGCAGCATCTGGGACTGCGTCAGCTCAGAGGGTGGGTTGCCCTCTGCCATCAGCACTGCATCAGGTCCGTGTGCCCTGTGGGAGAAGACAGGGGGCTAGACCCACAGCTGGAAGACCGGAGGGGCCCTCAGGCTCCACTAAGCTGCGGGAGCTGGAGGACACTGCCTGACTTGGGTGAAGAAGGTTTCCCATTCCACCCACAGTTTCATCTCTACAGCCAAGAGAGGAGCACCTGGCAGCCTCATTTCTCTGGAGCGGAATCCCTGGGCTGTGTGGGCTGGCTGGTGAGCCCCCATGCCAACACACCAACAGGCGTATGTTTCAAGGAATTCATAACTCTGCCACCGTCAGACATCAACCACAGCCTCAAACCCTGAGAGGCATACATAACCTGGCTGAGAAGAAAAAAAGGTTCGTCGTGGAGGCTGGCTCTCCTAGAGTCATGCATGGTCCTGGCATCAGGGGGTCCCATCCTTGCTCCAAGCAGTACTGCTGCAGGCCACCCTGTCTCAATGCTGACGACTCCAGATGTCCCTGCCAAAAAGGGCAGCTCGTGGTCCCCTTCAGTCCATCTGATCTGCGGCCAAGTGTGGCTTTCAAGTCACCTTTCACTCTTTCAGGGTCCTATCCAGCCTGGCCATTCATCCCCACGAGCTTACAACATAGATGCCTGTGTTCCTTGTTCCCTGAGAAGATGATACAGGAAGTAATGAAAAGTGTACTTCTGTTTCTGCCTGCGTAGCTTGGGCAAAATAAGAAGGGAGAGGTCTCCATCTAGAACTTGGAAATGCTTGCAACAAAGAAGGAGGGTTATCCATACATTTTAAAGTGGTGTCTTCCTCTTGGGTTGGGTCCCAGAACTGCACGTGAGTGTTTGAAAGTGAGAGAGACAGGGTTATCCAGCATTTTTAGCCTGGATCCTGCCTTCCATGAACTGTTGTAGCCCAGATATGCCCCTTTCTCCCTCAAGGCTGCAGCATTTCTAAAACATGCTGTCACCAGGCCTTTTACCCCTGCTTTCTCTGTGAGAGGTGTGGGGCATGTCCCAGTCCAACACTATCTAGCACCCTGATCTGGAGAAGTCTTTGAACCTCACTAATCTGCAATTTCCTCATTAGTCAAAGGCACAGGGGGAATATTACGCTGGGTGATGCCTTGCTTCCCTCCTCTGTCTCTGAATACCTGGATGTAACCGTTCCCTGGGGAGGAACTTCCTGGTTGCTTACCAGCAAGTCTTAACACATTTCACCTCTCCTCAAACCCCAGGCCCCAGCTGTCTTTTGTGGCACCCAGGAACAGCCCTGGAAACATCCCTGGAGGTTAGAAGACAAGACAGGGCACGGAAACCAAAGCTTGGACTGTCAGGCTTGAATTTGAACCCAGTCTTAATACAAGAGAGTTATATAACCCTCTGGGTCTGTTTCCTTATTCTGTAAACCAGATCCTAGGATCACCATCCTAAAAGCATTGCCAGGAGGAAGAATCCAGACTGCTTCTAAGGTTTGGGGAGGGACTTTTTACAGAGTGAATGCAGGGGGCGGGGGAGGCTTTGCAAAAACCTGAGTCTGACATGGAGCTATAGAGATGTGAGGAAAATAGGAACTTTTCTTTTCTCGAGGATGTCAAGGTCCTTCCCACCTCACAGAAGATTACTCACAGAGACGTCAGCCTCAGGTAAAGGACCTAGGGACACACATAACCTAATAAGTCATCTAAAAGACTAAGAGAAACTTCAGTTCTTCGAGGAATGAATAAAGTAAGTCAATGTCAGCTATAACCTGTGTCAGCTACAGAAAACGAGACTCCTGCATCTGCAGGAAGCATTGACCCCAGGGTGAAGGAAACGTCCAAACCCCTCCTGAAAAACACACCTCTGCAAACCTCCTACACCAGCCTTGTACTCGACAAAGAAAAGAAAGATGATGGCCCTGACACCGATTCTCTTTAGAGCCCCATGAACGGCTGAGACTCTGGCGCTCTTGAACAGCTGTTTTTCCTGCCTGCTTCTGAGAATGCAGAGGCAGAAGCCTCAGCATGCCTTTGCTTTCTTGGAGTGGACATCCCTTAAAAAAGGGGAGGACAGATGAGCCTCCTGGAGCCCAGGTCCTCCTGCATCTCTTGAAAATAAAAACTCACTCACGTCACTTCTTCCAGGACGAGCTCCGTAAAGAGTGGCAACACCTCCCCTTATGGTGGCTTACAGCACCGACAGGAGGCCACTAAACCTTCCTGACCTGGTGGTCTCCAGCATGTCTTGCAGCTGGCAATTCACCCCCCTGAGCTGGCTCTGTGACTCACCCCTCTTTCTTTATTACCTGTCCAAATGTGCAGTGATAGGGATCAGACCAGGGGCTGCACCTTACCATCTGATTTTTTAAAATTAGAGTTTATCTGTTAAGCTTACTATAAAAATTGATTGGCACACAATAGTTATATGCATTTGTGGGAGGTAGTGTGGCGTTTAATGCATGTGTAGGATGTATAAAGTAAGATTAGACCAAAAAACTGACATACACATCACCTAGACACTTATCTTCCCTTGTATTAATAGCATCATCCCCATAGCTATTTTAAAATGTATAATTAAATGTTGCCAACCGTTATTTTCCAGCTCTGGTCACCAAGACTTATCCATGTCATACAGTGGCTCCCTGCCAATCCCTAAACCATAACCCTCTGAGGATGTTAACAGCCGCTTTCTCTGGACGAGAGGAAGGAGGGGTCCTGGGGCGTAGGGTGGAGTCCCGGCTCCATCTCCTGCAGCATGATTAACTGCACTGCAGGAGTAGTTAGGATAATAGTGAGTTTATCTTTAAATTTAATTTTTAAATATTATTTGGTTCTCATAAATTAACACATCTATATGCTTAGAAATTCTGGATAAATATTATCTGTTCCAACTTGAAAATCACTCATCTATCTTTCTCCATACCAGAAGGGAACTTTGGAGAGATTCTGGGGGGAAGGAGATTATGAAAATCTTGAAATGACATTTTCCTTCTTGTTGTCCACTCTGCCTAATGCAAGCCCTTGCTACACTGTGCTTGGTAGAGGCAGAAGACATCTGGCTTTATCAGGCACTGCCAAGATGCTTGGGGATCTGTCATGGCAGCCCAGGCAAGGCCTCCTCCCAGGGAGAGGGCAGTCTGTGCTCGCAATGCATGGCTGCACCTGAGTCTGCTCCTGGCAGCCACGCTGCTCCAGAGTGTAGCAGATTTTGGAACCAAGCCCCTGAGGTTCCGAGCTCTCCACGCCCTGTGGAGGATGTCAGGGGAGGGCTTTCCAGAAGGCAGTGGGGAAGCTGGGGTGTGGCTGACAGAGTCAGGAAGTCCACACACGCACTCACGAACACACACGCACTCACACTCAGCCACACTTGAATGCACACATACACACACATGCACACACATATGCACATAAACTCATATTCACACACTGCCACACCCATGGAGGCTCACGTTTATATACACACAGACATTCGTGTGCATATACCTACACTCATACAAACATCCTCACACAATACACTACCACACACCCTCATACTCACACACAGAACACACATGCACACTCAAACATACGTACTTATACTCACATATTTCACATACCCATTCACACCCACAATACACACACACCACACACACACACCACACACACACACCCCACAGTCTGAAAGTGCAGATGCATATAACTGCATCCAGATAATTGCATGTGGCTTTGTTTTGTTATAGTAGTTAAGAAGGGCTATTTTGGGGTTGGAGAGGAGGCCTGGGGAATGATGAAAATATTTCTCATAGGAACAACAGCCCCCAACCCAAGTCAGTATTTTTTATTTCTTTTTACATTAGCTCCAACAATGCAGAGTATAGAATCTGCCGTTACCCCTGTCTTTCACCCACAATGAAAACTTTCCTAACAGTATGAAGGGTTAGGATTGTCCCTCAATACCTTGAATTTTCCACACCTGACCTCACCTGGCAACTTTTCCTACACACATGACTACAGGGAAAGCCGAGGTCCATCTCTGGCAGGACATAACAAAGACGGTCGAGACAGCAGCAACCCACAGAGCCAGCTCTGACAACTGCAGAGCGCTGTCCCCTTTGGTCATTCCTACTGTGACTTACTGATAGCTAAGCCTGCAGTGTGAATCTTCCAGTGACACATGGAGCTGTCTGGGGCTGACTTCTGTGTGGCCTGGGACATGAGAGAAGGTCGGCAAGACCATGTGTGACCACTGCCCAAAAGGTGACATTCCATGAGAGATGGGATCCCTGAACCAAAATAAAGAGGAAACCGTAGCAGAGATAGTGGGTTGTGGGAACCAAAGTAACTGATAACTTCCCCTCTGAACTTGTTCTTGGGGTGTATGTTGTATTGCCCAATCAGGCAGGGGAATGAGGCTGGGAAGGGAAAGAGATCAGAAGGGTGGTCTCATCTTCTCTTTCTCCCAAGTTTTAATTCTCTACCAAAATACATGAAACGTGCAGGCTCATATTTCAAAGGTGCCAGCTTTTGTTTAAAGAAAGGAGCTCAGAGAAAGAGCTGTAAGGGACTTGGAGTGGAGGTTCCTGGGGAAGGTGGGTGAAGACCCTTTCAGGAACTGCATGCTGCTGGTGCGGGCGGAGAAGGGGAACCCATGTTCTCCTCTCCACACTGGGACAGGTGGTGCCTCAAGACCCACTCTGTGCCTCTCTCTAGACAGTCACAGGATGAGGGACACCCGCCAGGGGTCCTCACCAGTGTGACTAACAGCCCGAAGACATGTTATCAAGCTCGTCTGTTCGTGTGATGCTCTTACTGACTGAGGAGCTCACCAGCAGAATTTCTCTAGCAGTTCGTCCACTGCACCTGCCAGTCCGTGCCATGTCAGCGTTAACACTCGGCTCACGCGCACATTCCAAAGCTGAGTACCAGCTTCACATCTCTGGGGGTTGCAACCCTCCTTTTGTATCAAAGCATCTCTTCCAAAGCCACTCTTTTAACCCCTCGTGTTCTGTACGCAATAACGCATTTACAGAGCAAACTTGCCTTTCCTCGTGACTCCTGCTTACTCTAAGGTTCCTCTAACTATCTCCACTTCCTCCTGTCTAATCCAAATGGCGCTAGAAGAGAAAACCCTGTTTCTCTTCTAGAGACTCTGCTGACTCCCACATTGCACAAGGGGACATTGTTAGCAGTGGCCACCTTCTCAAGTTGTCAGTGGTTCCATCAAATGTTGTTCCAGCCTTTCCCTACTCGGGCTTTGGGCTCTGTGCACCCCACTCTATATCCAAGAGCTCCTGACGTCAGATCAGCTCCACACGGTAGGTATTCTGCCAGCCTCAACTTCTCCAACCTGTGTCCTGCGTCCTCTCCTCCTGCTTCACCCTGACCCTGCTACACCATCCTCGGCACCTTAGCTCTTTCTGCTTCTGTAGGCTCGGGCAACGCTTATCTTTTGTTCGCTTGGCACCCTCCTCCAGGCTAAGACCTCACATAGGCTTAAATGTAGCAAATGCTCAATGGATGCAGGTTGGTGCATGTCAGCTGCACATGGGCAAGGGTAAAGAGAAATGTGCTTCCTTTTCCTGCCATGTGTGGGTTCAGCCATCACCAAGGATTCTTCCACAGGAGGGCCCGGGCTTCCCTTCATCCTTCTCAGAAGCCTTCTATCCTCCCCCCTGGTTATCTGAGCAGTGACATTCTGCCCTCTTCCCAAGACCAGGCTGTCTCCAGCCATCACTGTACCTCAGGAACTTGTTGAGGTCCCCATGCTTCATGTACTCAAAGACCATGATGAGAGGGTCGCCCTCCACACAGACACCGTAGAACTTGACAATATGTTCATGCTGGAGGTTGGTCAGCAGCTCAGCTTCACGATGGAAGTCTTTGCGAGCATTGTCGCTGGCATCCTTCAGTGTCTGGTAAAACAGGGACATCAAAGAGAAGGTTGTTTCAGTACGGAATTCTGCCAGTGAGCCCTAGGAATTCTAGAAGGGGTGACCATGTATGTAGCCCATTACACAAGCTGTCAGGAAGCACCCTAATTCCCAAGGAAGCGAGGTTTGTGTGTCTGAGACCTCATCCTTGTGCATGCACAAAGGTCTGTGGCTCACAGTGCCTTCTTCTGGAGGCATTCTCATTGAGGTACCAGGGGAGCTTATCTTACGGGCTTCACACTTCTTACCCCTGTCTGGGCACAGGGGTTACCAGGGGGTTCTGTCACTTCATGGTGCCTGTTGAGATCTCTATGAAGCTGTGCATACCTCACCCCTACCTGGGTAACCCTTTAAAAGATATATATATATTTTTTAATTTTATCTATGTAGATATATGTGCATGAATCTATAACTGTGTGTGTGTTTCTATGTGTGTGTGTAGGTTCCCACAAAGGTTAGAGATGCTGGACACCATGGAGCTGGATCTACAGGTGGTTGTTAGGTACCTGATGTGGCTGCTGGGACTTGAGCTTGCATCCCCTGCAGGGCACTAGGTCATCTTACTGAGCTGTCCCTTAAGCCTCTGCTCATATGACCCTTTAAATAATAAAATCTGAAGAGAACTCATAGAGGAAAGTGCCGTGAGGCTCAGCGGACTCTGCCTCCAGCTGTAATAAGGGTCTTGTGCAGTCTTTGTATGATAACCTAAAGCTTTCTTCAGCCTGTTCCCCACACACGGAGAAATGTCCTGTCCCTTCAGCTTCAAGATGATCAGTCATACTGCCAAGACGCAGGTGATCAAAAACACACCAGCAAGGCTTACACAAATAGAGGTGAGACACACAGAGCCTCTGGAGGTTCACCAGCATGAAGGGCTGGCAGAACCACCTGACAGTCCCAGGTCCTGGCCTGGAATAAGCCTGTAAGATACGGTGTCCTAGCCATGCTGTTTTCAGTCAGTGTCGTATATACACTCTGTGTTGTCATTAAGCCAAGGCTGCTGCAGAACCAAAGAGGTATCGAGCTGGCCTTGATGTCACATACAGTTAAGCAAGTGCTGAAGGCAAGTATGAGAAATTGCAATTCTAAGTTAGTGTGCATTACGGCTTGCCTGAAACACATGAAACTCTCCCAGAATCACAAGAGGAAAAGGAGACATCGATCCCAATGTCAACCCAGGTGATTATGAACAAACACACCGAAAAGACACTTATATAACTGTAAACCTAGCACCCTGGGTGGACCAGCTTTCTGTGTCGCTGTTTGCCCAGGCCTCTCCTGCCTTGGCATCAGCCCCTCTGCTCAACCCCCTCCCCCCAGGCCAACAGCTCCCCTTACACCACAGCTTCTTGGATAACAAACATTTATCCCCACCCTCCACAAATCCTCTCCTTTGCCCGGAATGCTATCTTGGGTGTCAACCGACACAGGAAGAAGTTGAACAATGCTCTGCCCCAGGGGAGTCTACATCCCAGCCCTCAGAATTCATGATGGTTACTGTCCGTATTAAGGCGGAGCCTGCCGATGATTAAAGCAAGGATCTCCATATGTGGGGGTTGCTCGGGTGAACCCAGCACCAAACAAAGGCCTGGTAAGATGTAGAGACAGGAAGACATTAAATGGCATAGAAGATGCACAAGGGAGACTCTGAAGGTGGGAGAAAGGACCGTACGTGGCTTGGAAAAGCTGTGGGGGCGGGGAAAACATAAATTACTTCTGACTTAGAACTTCACAGAGGAACCGTGTCTCTCCACATCTTTACTTTAGGTGGCCTCTGACTGCCAAAGCTGTGGAGAGACAATTTGTGTGTCTGAAGTCACTGAGTGACAGCGGGCTTAGGGGGCTGATACACCTCCCTGACACTAACAGTCCTTCACCTCTGAGAAGGGGGTCCTCTATGCTGTCCCATGTCAACAGAAGCCTCCTTTAGCTCCATGGCCAGCCTCTTGAGTGGAGCTCCGTCAGTCAGTCACTGGGCGCAAGGCACCTCTAGAGCACAGTGTGACCTTGAGTGAACTGCTGAAAGCTGTGTTTTTTGTGCTTCCTCAGGCTTGGGGGAAGGAGCCTCTCCCTTTTAAGGCAAGGGTGCTGCTCATGGCCGAGTCCATCCCAGGCTGAGTACTTTGCTTTCTCTCTCTTTCTTTCTTTTTACCATTCACCACTATTTATTTACTTTTATGTTTTTATTTTTTATAAGTTATACATATATCCTGATTGTAGCTCCCTTCCTCATCTCCCCTCCCATCCCACCCTTCCTCCATCTTTCCCCCCAATCCCCTTCCCCAAGTCTACTGAAAGGGGGAATCCTCCTCCTCTGCCATCTGCCCCAACTTATCAAGTCTCATCAGGACTGCCTGGATCCTCTTTCTCTATGGCAGGCTGAGTTTTCATTGTTTGTGTTCAAGGGCCACAGTTCACACAAGGGAGCAACAGAGAGGGTGGAGCTCCTCAGGCCTTCTCAAGAAAGCCTCAGCAGAGGGAGACAGGGCTGCCAGCCACCATGTCCCCAGAGCTGGTCGGTTCCCTAACTATAGCTCTTTACTAGCACTCGACATTCTCTACAGAGTTGTGACCTGACCGAAGGAGACGGAAATCACAGGTGTCGCTTCCATTAGGCCAGCGGCAGTAGCATCTTAGGAAAAGTTGTGAAGTGGCCCTTCGCTGTCCCCACAAGAACCATGAGCTCTGCTTGGAAATAGGAGCAGATTTGGATCGTGGAGTGCTCAGAGAGGCCAGAAAGCTCTGATGGTCATTGCCATGGAAACAGCACACTTCTTCACATAATAACAAAATGAACAGTGGCAGAGAACTAGGTGTGGGTCTCTGCTTCGTTGAGTCAGAAGAAACTGAGCTTTCTACATCCCTCTGCCTCCCAGATTTAGGCTAGCTGGGTCCAGACTAAATGTCTTTGTTTTTCCATCACACAGGAAGGTGCCATCACCCGCCAGGCCCTGTCCTTGATCTCGAAGAAAACACACAGACCCTTGAATTTTTGCCTCTGCCTTGCAGTTTGGTTTGGAGTATCATGTCTGTGTCTGTCTACCCTACCCCTTTGACAGTAGGTGGGCATCAGTCCCACCATTCATCGCGGGCTGCTTAACAGCATTAAAGCAACCACAAACCCTAAACTCCAAGGTCTGTATGAAATAGAGATTACAGGGCACGGAACAGAAGTGAAAGGTGAGTAGACATCAGCAAAGGTGCCATGTTGGCCCAAAGAAAGACTGGAAAGGAAGTATCAAGAGGAACAAGCAGGTGACAAAGCTTGCACTCTGTCCTGGAGACTGAGCCCCATATCTGTCCTGCTTCTAGCAAGGCTCCAATGGTGCCCAAGTGGAAGAGTTCTTGGCTAGAACTGAGAATCCCAGGTTTGAATCCTGGCCACACCCTGCTCCTCTCTGAACCCTGCTTTATTCTCCTGTGAGGGAGGTTAGCACCATCTGCTTTTTAGAGGCACTGGAAGGACAGTGAGGGAGCTAGAAGTCAGGATGCTCCCAGACCTTTTGTCTAAGATGATATTGATGTGATTTGAGTCTGAAACTGGGTCTCCTGTGTTCAGTTTTCTTATACAAGGATCCACAAAAGATGAAAGATGCATGGGTAAGGTATAGGTGCCTACTTGAGAGAGGAGAATGGCACTCTTCCTAGGGAGTTCATCCCCTAAGTGGCTAAATGCCAGGAAGTATCAGGCTGTGTGTGGAGGTGTAGTACTGGACCCTCATGATCCCCCAGAGGCCTCATCTTTTCATTCATAGGTTGCTAGCATTTACATGGAAGCTTATGTCTAAAGCCTTGTGGTCATCACATGCCTAGAAAAGGGGCTGATCCTTTTAGGTCTTTGTCATTGGTCATAGACAAATCCTGTAGAAAAGCTTTCTGAGAAAACTCTAATTATGTCCTGTTGATTCAAGAATGCTAGAGAGAAAGACACAGACACAGAGAAATGTAGAGAGAGACAAAGAAAGAGAGATTCATGGGGAAGGAGAGAGAAAGAGAGGAAGGAAGGAGAAAGGAGAGGAAAAAGAAAGAGAAAAGGAGAGGAGGGAAGGGGAGGAGAGAGAAGAGAAGAGAAGAGAAGAGAAGAGAAGAGAAGAGAAGAGAAGAGAAGAGAAG